GGGGGGAATGGGGGAGGGGTCTGGGAGGGTACCGGAGGGCCTGGGAAAGGGGCAGTCCCCATAGAGGCCCCCACTCCGTCCCCTGTGTACCTACTCCATCCCCCATGTCCCCGCTCTGTCCCTCTGTCCCTCGTGTCCCAGCTCCGTCCCGCATATACCCACGCGGTCCCCCATCCCCCATGTCCCCACTCCATTCCCCGTGTCCCAGCTCTGTCCCCCATGTCCCCACTCCATCCCGTGTCCCCACTCTGTCCCCCGTGTCTCCATCCCCCATGTCCCCACTCCAACTCCCATCCCCCATGTCCCCGCTCTGTTCCCTGTGTCCCAGCTCCGTCCCCCGTGTCCCCGCTCCGTCCCCCGTGTCCCCACTCCGTCCGTGTCCCTGCTCTGTCCCCCATGTCCCCATTCCATCCCCCGTGTCCCCAGGCCTGCCTGGTGTCTTGCTTCCAGCAGCTGATGGTGGAGACCTGCTCCTGTGGCTACTACCTCTACCCGCTGCCAACGGGGGCTGAGCACTGCAGCTCTGCCCGGCACCCTGCCTGGGGTGAGTCCTGCCCACTGCCTCCCACTCTGCCAGCCATGAGCCGGGGGTCATGGCAAGCCTCACACATGCCCCTGACCCCTCCCCCAGGACACTGCTTCTACCGCCTCTACCAGGACCTGGAGACCCATCGGCTCCCCTGTACCTCCCGCTGCCCCAGGCCCTGCAGGTGAGACGGGGTGTTGGGGTCAGGGCCAGGGGTCATTGCCCGGAGCGGCTGGCAGGTGACGCCCCGGCTGTCTCTTCCAGGGAGTCTGCATTCAAGCTCTCCTCTGGGACCTCCAGGTGGCCTTCCGCCAAGTCGGCTGTGAGTCCCCAAAGGGGTGGGGTGGGGGTGTGGACAGCCAGGCAGACCCCACAGGACCCACGGAGCCCACCCAAGACAAGGGCAGGGCCGGGGCTGACCCAGCCTGTGCCCTGTGGTCTCTGTCCCCACACCCACCCATGGTACCCGGGATGGCTGGGGGCATGGGGGAGCCGTGGCCACAGCAAACCTTCCCGGCTCCCAGCAGGGCTGGACTCTGGCTGCGCTTGGTGAGCAGGGGCTGCCACGTCAGAGCCATAGACAGAGGTGAGTGCACCCTCACCCTCCAGAGGGGCATCCCAGCCCCTCTCCCCTTACAGCCCCCCTCCCCATCATGAAGGTCTGGGCCAGCACCCTCATGCCTCTATCCTGCTCCAGGAGCAACCTGGCCAAAATCAACATTGTCTACCAGGAGCTCAACTACCGCTCGGTGGAGGAGGCGCCCGTGTACTCGGTGAGCTTCGGCCCCCAGCCTGGGCTAGGGTGGGGGCGGGGCCAGTGGCTGGCCCCGCACAGAAGGGCCACGGGGCCCAGGCCCGCCCCTCATGCCCCACCCCACCCTCAGGTGCCGCAGCTGCTCTCAGCCATGGGCAGCCTCTGCAGCCTGTGGTTTGGGGCCTCCGTCCTCTCCCTCCTGGAGCTCCTGGAGCTGCTGCTTGACGCTTTGGCCCTCACCCTGTTGCTGGGCGGACGCCGGCTCCGCAGGGTGTGGTTGTCCTGGCCCAGAGCCAGCCCTGCCTCAGGGGCATCCAACATCAAGCCAGAGGCCAGTCACATGCCCACGCCTGCAGGTGCGACGTCAGACAACCTGGGGCCCAGCGGGCCCCATCTCCCACAGATGATGCTTCCAGGGGCCCTGGAGAGAGTCTCAGCTGAAGAGAGTTGGGCTGGGCCCCGGCCCCGTGAGACTCTGGACACCTGAACCAGACCTGCCAGGGCTGTGTGATCTCTCGGCCTGGTCCTTGGAGCTGTGGCAGCAGCAAGCTCCCCAGCGGCCCAGGGTGGGCCCGACCAGCGGCTGCAGGGCCTTCCCAGGTCATCCAGTGGCCGAGGAAGCAGCACGCGCGGCTGTGGGGAGGCAGGGCGCTGGGCACGTCAGCGCCTCTGGTCAACCACCCACCCTGCCTGGGGCGGGTCTGAAGGAGGCCCAGGGCGGAGGGGGCTTCCTGAGTGCACACGAGTGCAGCTGGAGGTGCTGACACGCGGTGATGTGCCCATGCTCCATGTCTGTCTCTGCACGTCCACACGTCTGATGCACCTATGTGCGTGTGTCAATCGTTGCTGCCTCAGGTGGGGGGGAGGCAGAAGGCAAGGCGGGGACCCCACGCCCACACGGGCTGCTCTGAAATAAAGCTGTGGACTCCACCTGGTGGCCAGTGTGTGCCCGTGCGCCCCTCCAGCCACCCGTCCCGGGTGAGCTGAAACCCTGACTGCACCTGGCGCCTCCCTGGGCACCAGGGCCCAGGACAGGACCAGCCCCAGCCTAGCCTTGCCGGTTCGCGTCCAATGACCCCTGGCCCTGACCCCAACACCCCTCTTCCCACCAGGGGACTCAGTCTAGGACAGAGAAGGATAGAGGGGTGAGACAATGGGGGCCAGGGGCATCAGGAGCCAGATTTTGTCAAAGAAGCCTCAGGCCCCCATCAGGCCTCATGCAGCCTGTTGGAGTCTGACTCAAGTGCTACCTGGCTCAGGAATGCCCTTTGGGGAGGGCAGGGGACGCAGACACTCCCCGGAGACAGAGCAGAGCGAGGCACGGGAGCCCAGGAGCAGGCAGTGGGCGCAAGCGGTTTATTCAAAGCGAGGGGTGGGGGTAAGACCCGGCAGCAGGGGCCTGGGGCAGGTCGTGGGGCCAAGCTCACACAGGGAGAGGAGCAAGAATCAATTCTGTTCTTCAGGGTCACAGGCAGCAGGCAAGAGTGTTGAGGGGCCGGGTCCAGCGCCCACTGTGCCCTCATGGAGCCTCCCGGGGGCAGCATTGCATAGTGACTGGCCTTAGCCTGACCTGGGGCCGAGCTGGGGAGGCCCCGCCTCTCTGCAGGGCGCCTTCGGGGAAGGGGTGCGTGAAGGCATTGGCAGGCCCTGCAACATGAACCGAGGGACCCCTGGACCCAAGGGTGAAGCTGGCCAGGGGCGAAGCTGGCCAGGGGCAGGGCTGGGGCTCAGGCGTCCTCAAGAGTCCACAGAGAAAAGACGCAAGACAAAGTCAGACGAGGCCTGTAGCAAACCCCCTCGGTCTGCTACAAAGAACGTGAGATGCGGGCTGCAAAGTGGCAAAGTGGCTTTATGCACAGGCTCTGGGCCGAGTACCGGGAGAAGGTGCCTCCAGAGGAGGCTGGGACGCGGCTGGGGCTGTCTGGCACGGGGACCTTCATGGCCAGCCACGTGGCCTTGGGACGCCCGCGTCCAGCCAGGGCTGAGGACCCAGGCCAGAGCCCCTCCCGCCCAGCACCCGCGACACCAGCCTGGATGCTGGGGTCACTAAGTGAGGTACTCGTTGGTTCCCTGGATGGGCCACCCTTTCTGCCCTGGGAGGGGATCTGGGGTGTGCAGGAGAGACCCAGCTAGGTCAGTGTTCTGGGCAGAAGTGGGGCACGAAGTGACACAGGCCCTGAGAACAGAGTGACACGGGCCTTGAGAGTGGCTTGTGACATGAGCAACCCAGGACCCTTAAAAGGGGTGACCTGAAGATAGAGGTTCCCCGGGTGGGGTGAGGGGCACCCGATGACGCAGCACCCCCCAGGGAAATGTGAGGCTTCAAGAGACTTAGTGTGGGGCCCTCGCTCTCCTCCTGGGCGAGCGGGGCCGGGGCGCCCCGGCACTGGGGCTG